CACAATGTGCCTTCTATGAAGGATTGAAATTCTTGTTATATGCCTTATAATCCATATATATTTAATCCAATTCACGACTAACAAACAATCTAAGAACATCAAAAAAAATTCACTTGATGGAGAATTGTAGGCTTGTTGGAAAAACTTGCCAAGAATTTAGGCACACTCAAAGTGAGTGGCCTTAGTCTGATATAAAAAACCACTGGCCAAAATGAAGACCTTCATAGTGATAGAGGATAATTAATGGTCCAAAAAATCACACAAGCCACTCCATAAATTCTCCTTTTCTGTAAATACTTCTAAAACACCACATCATAGATACTCAACTACTCAATTCCGCACAAGGATTATTGTCAAAGGCTAAACAACTTGTTCACAATTTTACTCCTATGAACAAAACCTTAGACCATTATCAACAACAAATCTTGCCCAATGGAGAGTTTTTGTTTTCAATTGGATTATGGATGATTTGAATTGAATTTTTTACTAAAAATGCTCATATATTATTATTAATTGCAAGCTTTGGCCACATGCATTACTAATAAGGTAACTATTGTATTACAATTCTCTTCAATCATTAAATCAATTCACTTAAAGTCACATCTTGATTTGTTGATGTCAAGGTCTATTATTACCTCAGAGTAAGTCTACTTGGATACAATACTAGAGACGATATGAAGCTTCTTGTAAAAACTAATGCATTTCTTTAAATTAGTAGGCTTTTTGCTGCAGATGACCTTATGCAATGCAAGATTGAAAACTGCGAAGTGAAAGTGGATTTGATTCTATTGCAAACGAGTGGAGGTTGAAGAATAAGAGACCATGATCCATACGGTAGAAAGGAAGTGAAATAGGACCTATGCTGAGACAAGGAAGAAAAAGAGGGCAACCAAAATTCATGCCATGAAAGAAAAAAAGAATCTAGATGAGCTAATTAGAAGCTTTGGGTGTATGTATAGACATAATGTGTGTGCATACAGCAACTTGAGGTATGCTTGTAGCCTTAGTCTTATCTATGTATTTAAAACTATATTATATCTTTTAATTTGATAAATATGAAATGTTTAATAAAGCTTTAAGTTTTTAATTATATTAATATGTCTTTAAAGTATTATAAATTTTATTTATACAAAATTATACATTTTTTACATAAAAGTCTTGTTTATGTTTATGGTGTGATTATTCAATATTTAATTAATTTTTTTCTTTATAGATGTATTTTTATTTTATTATTTATTTAAATAAAATAATTATCTACTGGTGTTCTTAGTTTAAAAGTTCATTGACATGTTATGAATTATAAATCATCTACTATAGAAGGTTCTTTTTGTAAAAATAATATAATTTTAATATTTATGACATATGTCTTTTTTGGTATTTATTTGTTTACATAGAGATTTATTTTTGAAAGTTTTAATTTATTAAAAATTTGTGTAGCTAAAATTAGAATATTATTATAATCTTAAATTTCAAACAGATTAAACGGCATTGAGGGTCATATATTATTCTTAATATTTTGAAATTACTTCTGAAGATTTCAAATTTCTTTTCAACACTTTTTCATCCTTAAATTTTTCTATTGATGTTTTCAAAAACTACTAGAAAATCTATTTGAACTATTTTAAGTTAAATGTTTTTTCTTATATATATATATCTATATATATATATATATATATACATATCTATATCTATATATATACATATATTGGTTTTGCAGTGCCTAAAAGTATTTTTATAATAATAATTTCATATCGTACTTTTGCATACCAGATTGTAAAACAATACACAAAGGTAGAGATAGACTTGTTTCTCTTTTAATGAGTAATTAATGTTCAACAATGGGATATATATATATATATATATATATATATATATTTTCAACTAGGTAATTTATTCAATCATTAAATGTCTTATAATTGAGGGAATATTGAAAAATATGGATTGGTTCATTAAAATATACTGAAAACATTTTTAGTTACTGAATGTACTTATGTTCTTCTACTATTAATTTAAATCAAAATTAATCAATTGAATTGGAATTTGTAATGTTTTTATATAACACTATATAGTACTATACAATATTTATATTATACTTAATGTGTACCAATCCATTTACATATATTATAGTACCAGTTTATATACAAGACTTGTATATATATATATATATATATTTTATTCGACTTGTATATCCTCCTTGAACTTTATTCAAAATTGAAATAGTTATTTTATAATATATTTTTTATATAAGATATTTGAATTTATTAAAATATGTTATATAATATCTTTTTTTTTAGCTTTAATTTTTTATTGCTCTATATAATTTTTGAAAAATATCTTTTATTATAAAATATTTAAGATTTCCAAGTAACAATATTTTGTATCACAATGATTCAAATCAAACTAGCATAGGCTTAATTAAAGGATTTCTTACAATTTCATTTTGCTTGAATATATTTTAATAACTTAAAATATATAAACCTGTAAGTAATTCTTATTAGATTTTTTTTGTTAAATCATACTTATTTGATATACTAGTGTTAGATTTATTTATTTATTTACTAACAATATTTTTTAAAATACATTTATGGCTCATCCTCTTCATTTGTTCTACAAATAAATTTCTTTAGACTGTGGGGTTTTTATAACTTGTTCAATATAACCTGTGCATTTTGAAGTTAAGCACTATTAAGTTGGAAATTGCAAAATTATTTTATTATCGTTTGTGAATTGTGCAGAACCATTTCGATTTGTTTGTGTACATGTCATAATAGTACAGTGATATAATCTAATAATATTATATATATATATATATATATATATAGTTGTTTATAATGATATGTTAGAATTTTCAAAAGAAGATGTATATGTTCTTATTTCATAATATTATCTATTACCTTCAAGAATAAATGATGTATTTTTGAGTTTATCTTTACTATTAAAAAACAAAGATACAGCTAAAAAACCAAAAAAAAACCGAAAAGAGATTAATCCACAACCTTTGAGATGTAATAGAATCTTCTCTGAATTAAAATAATTCACAAAAAAATTGTACAAAAACTATCTAAAAAAATCTAATATATTTAATATATATATATATATATATATATATATATATTCATTTGCAATAAAAATGAACATTGCATTTAAATAGTTTATAATATATAATAATCACACTTTTAAAAGTTGAAAGCAAAAGATAGTGTTAATTATAACAGAATTGTTTCAAATGATATAAAAACATTTTAAGATTAGTTTAGGCACATCGTAAGTCAACCTTAGGTATTACAGTATTTTGATTATGCATATATAGGTGTAAATTACAAAATATACACAATCTGGGTATAAAAAATTAAGGATATCCATACAACTTCAAACTTTTCAAAATACTTTAGAATATTAATCCAAAGTATTATTGAATTGTATCATACCAGGAATTGGTTGCTGATGCAGTTGTAAGAAATTCTTATGGTTGAATTAAGGAAGACCAAGCAGAATACAACAACATGCCTTCATGTCCCTATTACATGTTACAATATATCCATTTAAGTTTTAAAGTATTCTTAACTTTGTATTCTGAATTGTTTACAAGCTTATTATGATAAATACACTACAAATTTTTAATTGGAAAACTAGAAAAAAGATAGAAAGAAAAAAAACAAGTGAATTCTATTTCCATCTAATGTGACTATTATAGCTTTTCAGAACATGTGCAGACTTTGTAATACTCCAATGACTTATCATTATGCTCAAAATTTTTGTCTCCATAATTAGCTCTGTAAAAATAACACCCATGTTAAATCTTAAATCGAAAAAAATAAAATAAAACACGGGATTATATTTTGTTTGAACAGAATTTAGTGCTTAATTTTCTTAGAAATAAGAAATAAATCAAAATCAACTTTTTCAAAGAGAATGAGCTTCAATTCCCATATGCTGTGGTACCTTTTTTTTTTTCTTTCACAGTGGGGTTTGATTGCAACCAGCTTCATGCCCAGAAAGCTGTTGCAGAGCATACTTTTTTACTTTTGGGGCTGTCTCTGGATAAAAGATTGACCCATTCAGACACCAAGACTGCCACACTATTGTGCATTATATGGGCTAATGTGAACAATTCCATGTGCCCTCACTTTGTGCTGCAAAATGGGTCTGGATTTGAATTGGCATCTGAGTCCTTTTCTTTGCATTCTAATCATGCACCATGTCCATCTGTCCACAATCTCATTAAATGCATAGACTAACCCAATTTTGGGCCAAGGATCGGATGGGGGGGCCAAGTTGCAGAACCAAAATAACACAACTGAATGCTAAATAGGTTGCCCATGTCAATGTAGATAAACACCACTATTAATTGGTGTGTTTTGCATCCAATGTCCGCCCAGGGACCCAAAATTGGGGGCTGTTCCCTTTTCTGTTCCTAGAATGTTCCTAGAATGTTCCTAGACCAGGTCCTTGGACAACCCAAGCCCTAAAATCACTTCCAGTCAAAGGGATGAATAAATTAGGGCTGGGCAGCTAAAACAAAAAATAACACATCCATTAGCAGGGAAGGGGAACAGAAACCGCGGGAACGAGATCTGCTCACGTGGAATATCAGCAGGAAGACGTGGCGGGTCGCGGCCTCTCTGAAGGCGGGCCAGCTGTGCAACCCAAGGGCAGCCGAGGAGAAACGGATCGCCACCGAAGAATGACCGTCACGGGCAGACGAAGAGGAAAAATAGTTTTTTGTTTTATTCCTGCGCTGGCGGGGACCAAAAATATCTGCCCCGGTCAGGGGGGCAGTGTCTGCGAGTTTCGTAGATGGGAAAACTACCAGGGCCCGACAATTCGTTCGTCTGGACTTTTCGTAGATTTTGTACCCAGTTACTGAATATCAACTTCAGGATTACATACTGTGACCCAAACTATGCGTGTAGTAGATTTGACGATCGCGTTGAATTCGGTTTGAATGGATGCTTTTCGGCAAGTTTCATACTCTTCGCAGCGTTTCAATCAGTTGATGATGTCGCGGCGGAGCATGGGCTCGAGTGTGTTGTCTCGAGTTCGTTCCGATCTGCTTTGCTTTGTTTGCATTTATTGCTATTAATACTCTGTTCTAGTTAGGGAGCCTCAGGGCTGTATGTTTGCAATAAAAGGCTACCGGAGGGCCCGATGTCGAAGTGGCCTCCGCGCTCTCCCCCCCTTCATTCTCTCCGGCTGTCACTCCGCTTGACGGGTTCTTTTCACATCCGTCTCCGGATTTGTGTAGGTGTGTGTTTCGGACCTCGTTTAATTTGTTGTTTATTTTATCTTTTCGGCTTGTTGTGGACTTGTAGTTGAGATCGTTAGTGTAGTTTCCGGGTAGCTAGCTTGGTGTATGGTTTTCCTGCATGAGAATTTTTAGTGTATTTAGGCGAGTCTGAAAGGTGTAGATTTCGTAGAGGAGAGGGCCTGATTGGTTGGTTACCTTCATGCGCGATCTAATGGAATGATTGGGATTCAGGTGCTGTGGATGATAGCGGAGTGGTGATAGATCTTTGAGTACTGGAGCTTCGGAGGCTCGAATAGCAGAATGGCAGCCTTTATGGTGGCTGCCGTGGCCGCCATTGGAAACATGTTGCAAGGATGGGACGGTGGAGCCATTGCAGGTATGGACATTAGAAAAGGCTGGATTGTGTTGGAATTGATTTTTGACCGTGAAAATGGATTTGAATTACATCAATCCAATGTATCGCATCTGAAGTACACAAGTTTCATTTAAAATTCAGAGGTGAATGGATAATAAACATTTTCCCATATGTTTGTTGTCAGTTTGTCAAGAAATACATTTCCAGAATTATCAGAACACTTGCTTGCTTATGTGTCTTGAGTCGCTTGCATAGCCGTTTTGAGGTCATTCCGTGGAAGCCATTACTGCGCTGTGTATCTGAGTGCAATCTGATCTGTTTTTTTCGCATAATGACACTAGAGCCTCCGATCAGCGAAGTCGAAGTGTTAATGTAGTTATGTATCTCGTCATGATTAGATGCTTATCTTATTGGTGGTGTGCGCGATTTGGATGACTATTAATGAACTTTCTTTGTCTCAGGAGCACTCCTGTACTTGAAGCCCGAATTTCATCTGGATCAAACGCCTGCCCTTGAAGGAGAGGTTGTTGCTTCTACTCTAGTGGGCGCAGTCGCCGCTGTGTGCATTGCAGGACCGTCTGCTGATTGGCTCGGACGGAGATTTATGCTCTGCGTATCCGGTGTTCTGTACTCACTTTCAGCTCTTGTGATGCTCTGGTCTCCGACCGTGTACGTTCTCATAGCGGGACGTCTCATCATCGGCTGTGCCATTGGATTGGCAGCGACGATCGCACCAATCCTAATTTCGGAGTCGGCTCCTTCCGAAATTAGGGGTCAGCTAGCGACGTTCCCTCAATTCCTTGGATCTGGAGGGCTGTTTCTTGCTTACGTGATGGACTTCATGTTCTCACTGCAACCTGATGTCAACTGGAGATTTATGCTTGGAATCTTGCTCATTCCTTCTCTTTTATACGTTGTCCTTGGAACGACGGTACTACCGGAATCGCCACGTTGGCTAGTGAGCAAGGGTCGCATGAACGAAGCTAAGAAAGTTTTGCAGAAAATTCGAGGTCGAGAGGACGTTGATGGTAAGATTAAATCTCAACAATTGTTATGACCCCTGGACGTTGTTTCGTGATATTCTAAGTCAATTGTTATACCAAATGTATATATCGAAGGCGCTGCACAGTATTGGGGAGCCGCAGAGAGTTGCATGAGAACGTATACTGATATAGTCAGCTCTGAATTCCGTTTCAAATGCTTGTAAATTTTTTTTCATGTACTTCTGGTCGTTAATGTTTTCTTTGTTTGACTCGAATTTTATCTCGGTATGTGCAGGAGAAATGTCCTTACTAGTTGAGGGTCTTGGAGTTGGTGCTGAAACGCATATAGAAGAGTGGTTGTTGAAGCCATCTGAGAAACCTTCCAAGGATGATGATGACTCGGTTATGGAAGACGGTCAAATTAAGCTGTATGGCCCAGATGACTCTACCTGGATTGCTACTCCAATCGTTGACGAGTTTGGCCACTCAATGGCAAACGCTCTTTCTAGAAGCCAAATGACTGAGAGTCGTATGTCGCAGTTCCTAGATCCTGTGGTGACCATGATGGGAAGCGTCCAGAACAGTTTTCACGACATGGGCCTTATGTCTCAGGACGACGATGAGAACAGATGGGATGAGGAAAACCAAGAACCTGGCCTTGAAACATCTCTACTATCCGGTGCACCCATGTCTAGAAATAACTCCAAGAACAAGGGTTCTATGTCCCGACAGCACTCTAGGTCTCGTAGCAGAAGGCACTCCAGGTCAAACTCCATTTCTGGGTATTCTCGCCGTCATTCAAGATCTTACTCCAAGAACAATGGACAGGACGGTCAAATGTCCGAGTTCTCTGGGAGCGTTGGTGTTGGCGGTGGATGGCAGCTTGCGTGGAGGTGGGATGAAGGTGCTAAGGATGGCGAAGATGCCGGTTTGAGGCGTGTTTTCGTGAAGGGCGAAGGTGGTGACATGTCTACCATGTCTACCATGTCTGTTCCAGGAGGTCAACCTCTTGAGGATGGTGAATCTTTCCAGGTATGGTACTGAATTGAGGGTTTTTCATGAACGGATTGAATGGAATGTTAGTCAACTCTTTCGCTTGGTAATCGCTAGGACAATCGGACTGCATTTGGTTTATTTTGAAAATTCATTTGCATACTTTTGGTTGCTTTGCATTGATGAATTAGTTTTTTGCTGATGGTCATTGGTCTTGCAGGCACAAGTTATTGTTGCTCAATCATCACTGTTCTCAAAGGAATTGATGGGCGAGCATCCAGTGGGACCTGCCATGATTCACCCTGCAGAAACCGCAACCCGAGTTCCTCCAGTTCAAAACTTGTGGGATGCTGGTGTGAAACGTGCACTTTTTGTTGGAGTAATTCTTCAAATCTTGCAACAGGTATGCATCCTTACCATCTGAAATAACCATAATCTTTCTTCTTGCTCTGGTTAGGTGGATACGCACGCACGTTGGTGTTTTACAAGCACCCATAATGATTCTTCCGTCTTTGGAAATTTTAGCTTTTGGCAGTTGACCTTGAACCTGTTTGTGCAGTTCTCTGGAATCAATGCTGTGCTTTACTTCACCCCCCAAATTCTTATGCAATCTGGAGCCGGAGATATATTGAGTCAGTTTGGTCTTAACGCGGAGTCTTCATCAATCTTGGCGAGTGGAGTCACTTGCTTTCTCATGTTGCCTTGCATTGTCCTCGCTATGAGGCTTATGGACGTTTCTGGCCGCCGGTAACCATTTTTGTTCTCCCTATATTGGATTTATGTTTGGCTTCTCCATTTGGTTCTCACTGTAAAATAGGATAATCCTGCATGCCGCTAAGGGCTCTGCTCTCATGTTTATGTCCCTTCTGCTTATCATATCTGTGCTGTTGAGCTATAGCTGTGTCTGTATCAAAGCAGTCCCATTTCTTTCGAATACTGTCCTTGTTTTAGAAAATGGTTGTCCTAGATTTTCATATTAAATTCGCTAGGTCAAATTCTTCACTTTTGGTCTAATGGATTATCCGGTTTGACTTACAGGGGACTGCTTTTGACTACTTTACCAGCCCTCACCATCTCGTTGGTGTCACTTGTGGTCGTGAACCTTTTCAAGGCAACTGGTCTTATTCCCGCATTGATTTCCTTCGTCTGCGTGACAGTCTTCATCTGTGCTTTCGTGGCCGGCTTTGGTCCCATCCCCAACATTCTTTGCTCTGAGATTTTCCCTACTCGAGTGCGTGGCACCTGCATTGGGATCTGTGCTGGAGCTATGTGGACAAGCAATGTCTGCATCACATACGCGTTTCCGATTCTGAACAAGAGTTTCGGTTTGCAAGGAGTGTTCGGTTTCTTTGCGATAGTTACATTCGTTGCCTGGATTTTCGTATTCCTTTACGTTCCCGAGACCAAGGGCCAGCCCTTGGAGATCATCTGCGAGATCTTTGCCTTGGCTGCAAGGAATGCCGAAAGGAGGGACCACGAAGATGATGACTACTAGCCTTCTTTCAAGACGTTGATCAAATCATATGAGTTCATATACTTCTATAACGAGTTTTGTCCGCTCCGTCCCTTGTTTTGTTGGGACCAACGTTCCCACTCATGATGTGGGCTAGTGGCGGTATTTACGAGATTGTTGAAAATGTAGGTAGGAAATGTAATGTTTTCTGTCTATAACTCTATTAAGTCATATAAGGATCTCAGAGGAGTTTAGTACAGACGTTTCCGACTCCAAATGGGCTTCGCCATTGTGGCTTAGCCTTCAATCAGGCTGATCTTCAAAGCCAATTTTTAGCGTATAGACTTATTACTACAGTCAGCTTCAATGACTAGTTCTTGCTGATTCTTGTAATTGAGCTTTTTTGAAATTTCACATTCTCTCAATCCCGAGGGATTAGCTGGAGTTCTGTTTCTTGTTGATTTCCAGTTTACTTTACCCGGCATGCTCCGAGTTTGGATTCTTTGAGTTTGGATATTTATCAGACGTTCTGCAGCTTTATTTTGATGTTTTGTGGTCAAGTGACTGTTTAGTTAGCTGCTCTTGCCAGAGTGTTCAGCATTGTCGCTGAAATGGCTGAGGGAAGTGCCCACTTTAAAGTTCGTTACCACTGGTTCAGGATCCTCATTTGGTGCCATGTCGAGTCAGTACACCTGTTCAAGAATGATTGCAAGCATGTGAAGTATTCTTGTAAGTTACACTGAGATTCGCCGATGTGTCCGAGTCATCATTCCTTGTATCCCTTTATATTACTTCTGATTCACCTCTTACCCCTTACCTCCCGTATTCCGACGGACCCCACCCCACCCACTTTTTTAATCCCCTCCATAGTTTTAAGCTATCTCAGTCCCAAGCATTGATTCTTTGTTTACTGAACAGTGGCCTCTTGTATACATGCTGCTTGGTTGTTGCAACAGATTTCCTTCTATTCCAAGCCGTTCTTGTTCCTGAAGCATCCTCTGTTCTTTGCTGGTAATTGTTACACATAAACATCTCATGCCTGCGCAAACTTCATGAATGAACACTGCGGGTTGACTCTGCGGGGGAGCATTTCATATGCCATCGACTTGTGTTGGTTTCATGGTTTGTGGTCTTTGCACGATAGCATGATATACGTTGCCTATTTGACGTGGCAGCTGTTTCCGCACTTTTGGAATTGCATATGTGAGTACCCACAACTGGGTCACTTTCATGACGGAGGGAAGAGTCCAAGGAGAATCAGTTTTCTGTACCCATATGGCTCCTTGTGACTGGTTGATGCAGGTTCTGAGATAGAGGAGTTTCCCCCTGATCAAAGTGCAGTGTTTCTTGAGTCTCTTTTTATCCCTGCAACGAAGCATAAGACTGTTTGAAGAATTAATTCTTCGTTTTCGTTTCATGTTTTTGTTGGTGGAAAAAAGTAAAATTTCGATCGATATTCCTTCTCACGTTTCCGAAATCCAGAAGTTGCTCAGAGGTAAGGAGTCATGGCTGCTATGGTGATGACACCGTCGCAGATTTCTTTGCCGATTTCGAACGGGCATGCATTGAACGTGAGGAAGGACACCAGCGGGATTCAAATTGACATCAGTGGGCCTGATCACGAGGCAGACGGTGAAGCGGACGACCAGGTGGTTGCAAATCCTCGATTCTTTCTGTAGTTATCTTCTCACCTCCTCCTGCACAAGTCAAAAGCAGCACATAATACAGGTACTGAAAGCTTTGCGGATTCAGGGTTCAAAGTGAGCAAGTTTCTTGCACACACCGCTGACAAGGGTTTTAAAATTTCCTGTTCATTGCGTATATCTCATCATTCAAAAACACGAAAATATGGACAATGGCTTCACTCTCCTGGATGATGGCTATCAGAAGAAAGCATCCACACGGTGAACATATCCTTCAAGAGTGCATAATGAGGAGTATGTGTGTTGGAAATTGCAGAGCATGCCTGGCAAGACTAGAGCTGCTGAGGAACCTCAAAGCGTCTTCACCTCATTTAAGAACGTGATGTTCGGTTCCAATACTCCTCATGCACCAGGTGTGTCTGAAATAGCTATTCTGGAATTCTAATCATTATTGGAGTTGTAAACTTATAATTTGCATTTCTTCTGTGCGTACGTATTAAGCTTGTTCTGGGGAAAAGTAACTTTGGAACTTTAGTGTACAAGTATCCAAATCGTTTGAGAAGTGGGAAAGTATTAGTAGGTTTCTCTCAATGTTTCTCCCCTCCGTGGCTTCTGACGGCTTCTCCTGCACACTCGATGCAATAGTTCTCTTTTTAACCCTCACAATTGTAGAGACATCTTGACGTCTATGACGCAATGTCGTTAGAATTTGACTGCTGAATAGTAGGAAGCCAATTCGTCTGTGACTTGGGCTTAGAGTATTTCCTTGGGTCGGCTTGCAAGTTGAGGACCTAAATTTGAAATGGACTGTGGCCGTGTTAGCACATTTCGTTGCCGTTCACTTCTGTCATCTCGATATTGTCTTGAAGTGTTAAAATAATGATTCGTTCTCCCATGCAGAGATGTTAGGTGGTGATCATGATTCTTCTGGAGTTGAACTCTCCAATGAGAATAGCAGTGATTTCCAGCATCAAGAAGACCCAAGTACGTCTGTCATCAACTTCTTGAACGACAACTTAACAGAGTGATCATTAAAATTAACAACCGTCGTTGATTAGATGAGCTTCGCTGTGATGAAGTGTCTGTTATGGAGTGGCCGGATATTGATGTGGAATTATCTATCGTGGAGAATTCTTTTTCCTCAGCATATCTTAGGTGTTTGGGGGTTTGTGACGGGTCCACTGGCATGAAGTGGATGTAGGCAATGCAATTGCTACAAGAACCTTCTTCTGTCCTGAAGAAATGCGGCGACAATGAATTAGTTTCGGGTAGTTGTCTAGTGTGGAGGCAACCTACATGCTTTCAGAAGCAACATTCCGGTTGCTTCTGGTTAGTAGGTTCAACATGACGTTCAGTTACCAGCCTCGAAGTGTAACACCTGATACATGACTTTGTCGATTTACGTGCATTTCTAAGAGATGATATGACAATTTATCTGAGACTAATAGCTGTTGATGTTGACGGGCAGATGAAACTGTTCCTGGATCAACTAACGACAGTGCTTGTCACGGACCCAGTGAAGAAAATTCCCAGGAAAAAATTGATTTCCACCCTGCGTCTGAACCTCAGAGACTGACGGTCGCATTTCCCTCAACTCCTGGACATTCATCCATTACACAAGCAGCTGAAGACCAAAGCAATCCTCCAACTGCACATTCAACTGACAGCAAGGTGAGCAGCACAAATAAAAGTCCCTCCAGGCCGTCCTCGCCCTTTAGGCAAGGCCAGGATGAGCACATTGGTAGTGTGCATTCGATCGCTGGGTCGGGAACTCAAGGGGACGCAGTCGTGATTGCAACTAATATAAGGAGTGCCAGCTTTCAGTCTGCACAAGGGGAACACTACCAGCATCAAGGTCAGCAGTCAGTTCTGAATCCAGCATCACACTCCCAGTCGCAGTTCCTTCTCACCATTTCTGCGCCATCCTCGCAATCAGGTCAACCTCTTTTTTTCTACGAAAAGATCACAGCTTGATAACTACATTCTTCCAAATTAGGTTTGAACTTGTGAAAACTGCATTTTAGTACTAACATGATCAATTTCGGCTGATCGAAATCTTGTGAAGTCAGGTCAGTGTCCGGGAGCTAGTATTTTCCGCCGGCGGAAACTGGGATCGGCTGCCTCCGGCTGAACGCAGCTCAGTTTCCGCAGTGGAAACTAGGTAAACACTGGACCGGGTGTCTCCTGCGGCTTGTGGGGATACCTGGTCCCGCGTGGATCCACAATCTGATATCACCGATTGTGGATCCCCCAACTGCATTTTGTTACGCTTAGTCATCTAAGCGCAAGCGTGATGATTATCGTATGGTTTAGGAGAGTTTTTATGTAGGTCATTGACCGCTTAGAGAAAGTATCCAGTCAGTACTTTCCAATACCAGCAACTCGTGCCAGTGATCAAGTGTTCCTTAGCCTGAACTCGAAGAGATGCATACAATAGGTATTTTGCATCTGCCTACACATGAACTTCGCGTAGTACTCAATCGCGTGTCCTGGAAGTGGTGAATGATAAATAGAGGTTGCGTGTAGGAGAAAGAGTCAATTCGAAGTTTTTTTTTTTTTTTTTTTTTTTTTGTTCCAAATGCGAACGAGTGCTTCTTGTGACATTAAGGGAAGTCCAAGCAACCTTCGTTGCAGTGCTCGGGGAAGTAAAGGTATGAATCAAAAGGCAGCTGAGGGATCCACAGTCAGGCGGCGGAAACTTAGGCGGAAACTGGGCTGCGTTCCGCCAGAGGAAGCCAAGCCCAGTTTCCGCCGGCGTAAAAAACTAGTTTCCGGTCAGTGTGAGACGGGGCTGCCGCACTTGAACCAATTTATAGCCACATTAGCAAGGCTTTGCAATATACAGGGTTGAAAGATGCTTGTCAGCTTCCAGATAATGTAGCGATGCCAGCTCCTGCAGGTGTGTCAGCAGCCGGTGGTGCCCAATTGGAGCATCTTCTTGCTCGTGTGAAGCATGAGAAGACAGTATTACGAGCCCTCGCTTGGGAGGAAAGTGCCAAGGCCAGAGCCTACAATCGGTAGGTATTTAGTATCAGCCATATTCGTGATTTAGTCCAAGGAAACGTCTCGTATTAGATGTAAATCTTGAGTAGGGCTGATGGAGCTAATACTCTTATTGAATGGTATCTGAGAAACAATTCACAGCCGGAATTAGTAGTATCGGTGGTTAAGGCAATTCAAATTGATTACATCATTACAGAGTGTGCTACCAATATCGGAATTCCTGGAGGCTACTTGTCATTCGTCTCAGGAACATGCCCATTGTATCCAATCTTGCAACCTCGTGACACTCTTCAGATCAGGTTTTGTCTGAAAAATATGTTGCTGGGACAGATATACTAGGGATGAGTCAAAGATTACGGCATGGGAGAATACGATGAAGGCAAAGGCAGAAGCTAAAATGCGGAAGGCCCAGGTACTCACCTACATTTGATAGCATTACAAATGATTCATTTGTGATTTAGTGGTGATTCAACGGCGGTAACGTGAATAGGTCTTGTGATAACTCACGATTACTTTGAATCCATAAACGTCAGCGATATTACCTGTAGATTTCCATGTGATCATTATCGATTTCATCATGCAATGCACCACAGTTATTCTCCGTGAAATGGTTAGGTGTACTGGAAAACACTCTATGTCCGTTTACTAATCCATGCTTTTAAAAGAATTGACGTGAAGATGGTTTCATTGGGTGCAATGATGAAAAATTAAGACAAGAAGATGACGTTTACGTGTAATGCATTCAATGGCAGGAGGACCTAGACAAGCAGAGGGCCAACCACATCGAGAAGATGAAGAATGCTGTGGCAAGTGTGCACTGCAAGGCGCAAGAGAAGAGGGCTGCTATGGAGGCTCGCAGAGCGGAAGACATTGTGAAGGCCGAAGAAATTGCCTCTCGCATTCGAGCAACTGGAAAGATGCCTCGCAAATGCTTGTGCGTGTCTGCTTAAAATCTGAGCATCCACTACATCTCTCTCGATCTTGAAATCTACCGTGAACAGACGCACAACACTAGATACCATGTTCCTCGTAGAAGAACAACAGTAGTATGGAAGGGGCGAACTCACTCTGCACATCATTGATCCATGCTGCGTAGAGGTATCCAGTCTTGGTGGACTATTCTTGACACCATGTTTTGTTGAGCATAGCCATATAATTTTGAAATTCCGGTTATAAGTCATCTCCTTTAAGTACGGATATACATATACATATATATATATATATATATCTCCAGTTCTCTAAAGCAACTTCAAGCTTGTTCACATTCTGTACGAGACATTCTTACCTTACGGTGCACTCAGAAAGTACAATACTATCAAACACTGAAGTGACGGTGGATACCTTCGAAGATGCACTTTCGTGGACGTTTGTAGAGGTCTGCATCACTTTTTCCTCCACGAATGACCGGAATAACACAAAACTGAACAAATCCAGGTGGTTTTTTATAATCACATCAGCAGAATTCGAAGGCACATGTATCCGCTGCTTGAAAAGACTCTATCAAACCTACAACTCCAATCAGCCCCGCGACTCGCTGATTCTTAACATCCTAATTCATGATGAGGAGCAAACTAATTACGCAGTGGTCATAAATCATGTTAAACACCACAAACTCGGTGATTCGATCACCGAAGCAAAGCAATATTCGGAAATATCATCGACAAGCTCTCCCCGCGTGACCGAACTAGGCAAAAAATCTCATACTAAATGAAGGGCAACATTTGATCCATTCTCTTTAGCCTTTAATTTCGTTTGAACTAGAAGACGGATTTCGGAGAAGCTTCTAGATGGTTTTGAATCAATAGCTCTTCGTTGCGAAGGTTTTACCACTGGATGATTTGTTTATTTTCATCCACATTCATCCATGGTCTTGAAGCTGATCAAAGGGCCCAAGCTCCTGCTACAGTCAAGCTCCTTTTCTCACGAGTTACCGATTTTGCGATTGATCAAGTTGCGAAGATTGTTTCGCCCTTTTTCGATCGATTGTTTCATGCTTGGAGGGCATCGTAGTGCAGTTGAGCTCAGTCATGGACGGTAGTGCAGGAATTTGTGTGTTGAGGGTGGTCATTTCTCTGGCTCTCGTTTTTTGCCTTTGTGCTTCCTCTGCTTTAGCCATAGTGGACGATAAATGCTCCGCTTGCAAAGCTGTTGCTGTGAGTTTTCACTTCCCTCTCTCTGTGCGAAAATTGTCTGGTTTAAAGCTTTGGTGGAATTTTGCGCGTTTTTTTTATTTTTATTGTTTGTTACGTGGACTGCCTTGCGATTGGTGTCAGATAGTTGATATTGCTGATCAGTTTTGGTTTATTAGGGTTGAAGTGTTGATATTAGGGCTTCGTTATTCTTGTTGGTGTGCTTGGTTATCTGTGTTTTTTGTATCTGTGTGTCTAAAAAGAAGGTTTTCTATCGATCAGATCTTAGATTCACTCTTAGTTGTGAAGAAACTGCACAGCAGGTCATGTTGAGATTTGGGTTTTCTATGCTTTCTAAAATTCAGTCCTTTATCGCAACATTTTTTAGCTGAGGGAAGTGTAACTCTCCTAGCTGGTTGAAGGGTTCGTAGGTTTCAGTTCAGTACGAAGTGGTATCGTTCTGAATTATGCGGAATGGTTCAAGAGCAGTTTAGTGTGAACCATGTACCTGACTCTATTCAATAAGCTAGGTCTTCCTTTTCAACGCAAGTTCGGGGGTACAGTTCTCTTGTAGGGCACTGCAATTTCTCTTGCCTCGTGGTAATCGAGTCAAGGACTTATCAAATGTGCGTGGTTATGTGGCAGTTGGAGCTGGAGGACTCGCTTGCAAATGTACGTAATTCTTATGCTGTCTGTTATTAGATCTCGTGAATGTAAATTTTTAAACAGAGTTATGAACATTCTAGGGCAGCTGCACTTTTTATTGAATTTACTTGACACGCTTTCGTCAAAGTTCAAGTTTTTCGTCCGATATTCGTAACCTTGCAAATCTAGTAGGGAAAGAAAATTATTTTTCTATATATACACCATGAGTGCCATTATTGTATAGTTGTTGGGCATGCTGAAGATGCCCACTTTACATCAACGTAGGCATTCAATGTCATTGATGGGTCTTGATGTATCTTTCATTGCTGGATGGTTGAATCTGGTTGCGGTAAACTTGCCCTGCGTGTTTAGGCTTCTTCGTGTAGTAGGTAGAGAAATCTGTGGACTGTAGTTGTGGAATTTTATCTGGATTGGTAAGTCATTTTAATGCTGGACAACTTATGACGTGGTTGATACCAGCGGTATCAAATACACTTTCATTTCTAGAACAGCTGTGTTATACAGTTGGACGCTTGCAGACTACGTGTATTGTGGTAAGGGTTAAAACGGATGCCCTATACGCATGGATACAACTAGCTTAAATTATTAATTCATCTTTTTCAGGAAAGACCGAGAAATCACCTAGATTATCGTCACCGACTTAATTCAGAAGGACAACGTGAAGGAAAAGTGATTGATTACAGGTGCGTCCTCTCTCCTACCTTTTGTGTGAAAAACGGTTATCTCCTTGATGTGCTCATTTCATTGTCAGTACCTTGAATTAGTGATTCACTCTTTTGTAGAAAATGCGTGCATGGATGTCAGACTTAGTGAGTTGCGAGTGGTGGAACTTCTAGATGGGCTCTGTTCAAAAATGAAGGGTTATGTTCCAAATAAGGTATGCCCTTTTTACTGTTCGCTTCTGGTGAGGTTTTATGTCTCTTTGTGTTCAATCTTTTAATACTCACGTATCCTGTTACTTTTTCTTGAGCAGTGATCGGATCATTCTCTCTGTCTCTAATCGTTTTAGGATTCTGTTTATGATTTGTTTTTTATGTTAAGTTCTGTATGGAAGTATGTATGTAGCTGTCTGTAGTACACTCATTATGGTAAGTTTTGGTATCCCTACAAGTAGGACTTCAACATGATTTTACCATAATGAATGTTGTGGCTGTGGTGGGATTCATGTCTTGCTTCGATTTCCTTGCTTCAGGCTGGCCCTGGGCGTACATTTTGGTTAAAAGTGGAAGGGGGAGTTCCAGATGCTCCAGAGATGGCACTTAGTAAGTAATCAGCCTGCGTTTGCTGACAGAAAATCGTCGTTTTCGACTGGAAATTGTGCATGAAGTTGCCTCTCACGTGTTGGAAGTTGATAAAGAGATCATCTTCTTATACTAATGTGCAGTCAAAGCGTGATTGAATTCGTGAATCAAATCTGGGTTACCAGTATGTACTAACTGTGGTATATAATTTTTCAACAGATAGGTTCGAAAGATATACCCCTGATTATCGTGCTGCATTGTAATTGCAGATCGGCAGGCGTCAGAGCTACATTCTAGAGCTATCGTTGAATTTTGTGGTCGGTGAGTTGCATCACTTAAACCTGCAAATGTGTACTTTGTCTCTGACAACTTCTTTTGTGCAAAATTGCGGGGATGATTTGGTTGTAGTAACATCAATAAGGCAATTTTCAGTTAGAGGGGTTTATTTTAATCTTCCAAGGTTTTAATGCTCTAGCTATGTGGTATCCTAATATGGTGCACAGTGGTGAAGTGCTAACTGCATTACTTTCTGAGGTTCTATGGTCTTACATGCCCAACGTGTAATTGTTTTTGTGGCAGGCTACTTGAGACTACTGAAGAGGAGGTACATCATTCAAACGTTGACTCTTTATTTTTGCAATTTTCCGGATCAAGCTGATGAGGAAAAACAACATATGTCATCAATATGGTAAACTTGGTTAAATGACTAAGTTTGGATGATGAACACGTAACACTGACATGAAGTGAGTTATGAGAAACATCTCAAATGCTGGGTTTCGTTGTGATTTTCCGACTCGTAAAGTTCGATTTGTCCATGCGTATAACCAATTATCAATATGCGTTAACAACAGCTGACGGAAAGAATTCGAGTTGGGGAGGTTGCCACTGGAGAGGTTGAACGTGTCTTGTGCAAGGAGCTCAGCAAGAGTTGCAAAGAACTATCGTGCGTCTTTGCTTCCACTTTTCTCCTATCCATGCATTTCTGGAAATTTGTATTTGTGCAGTTTGTCCCATATTGCGATGTCCATGGTTTACTTCAGACAGATCAACTTGTATTCTGTCTGAAGGTCCCGTCAACTCTATAATTGCCGTTTCAATTCCTGTTCATTCCACGTTGATATTCATTTTATGAATTATCTGCTTGCTTATAGGGAAACAGCAGAACCAGCGGATGACGATGATCTTGAAGATGAAGAAATCGACGAGGTCGCCACAGAACGTGCAGATGATCACGTTAAAGAGGATGCAGAAAAAGCTACGAAGGATGTATCTTCGGTTGCTGAAGAAACGATTAGTATGGGCAGCGATGGTGAGCTTTAGAAGTCTTTTATAAATGACTACTTTGGTATGGATAACATTGATGGTACTTATTCTACATGTATACAGTAGAAAGTCGTCAATAATTTTTTAATGCAGCAATCCCGTAGACTTCAGGTGATCATGGCGATGTTCAGTGGTTTCTACCACCCCTTTCGTTCTCATATCCATATTACTGCAGAATTTTTTTCCCAGACGACATTCTCAACGAAACATATTATCTCAGCATGATATTCTCTTGATTGTTTCAAGTGCAAATTTGTCATCATTACTATGAAATGCGGAATTCAAAATCCTTCAGTTTCTTGATCTGTTGGTATCCGTTTCAAAATTCGCAACATCTTGACAAATTATTTCGCAGAAAATGAAGGAGATGTTATTTACAATATAATATCTTCATGGCTTTTTACAGCAAAGTTTATTTTTAGTTTAAGTCGATATTAAACAAGGAAGCGTGTAAAAAAAGATTCTTATTCGTTATTAGAGGTATAAAACGGAAAATAGTTTAAAGAATGAAGTCGGAAAAAAACAAAAATGAAACCTCAATACAAAGTATCAGAATTACAATGATGAAAATGAAGACGTGGAAAATCTCGAAAAGGAAGTCATGCTTTTACATGTGCGATCTTGTATCGATAAACAGACAATCTGGTGCTTCATAGGGCAATGGTCATCCTGGATTATTTACTGGTGCATAACTTGATGCTAATTATATTGAAGGCGCCATTCAGCGAAGGCGAACATTTTCCATACCTGCATCTATCTAGCTAGCAAGCTACCTGCAGGATTTTGCGGGCATCTAGTGACGGTGGTTGTTAACGTTCAGACCAACAAAATTTCACTCATATTCTGTAGTGAAGCAGAGAGATGGATGTATATTGGTAGATGCGCTAAAAACCGACACCACTAGATTCCAAGCTGTCATTGCCCATCACAATATTGGTTAGCTGAGACTGATCCCCAGACGAAATGCCACCTTTAGGCCAAATTTCAGAGATTTAGTACCGCTTCTGAAACATTTCCACGAGGATTACGTGTGTTTTGTCAATCTTCCGAATACTCTTCCGTGGGTCGAATGTTAACAGCGGTACTTCCACATTCACCATCAGATTTATGACCACACTTCGAAACGACTGAAAGCAATTCTGGAGTAATCCCAGTAATAAACGAGTCAACCATGTGCGGGTCCGGGTCACGATGGTTGGATTTGAGTCAACCGTGCATAGACCGTAGCCGGGTGGAGGATATGTCGTGTTTCTGTTCTGCAACCTAATTTGTGACCTCTATTTAACAGACGACATGACATGCGAGAGGCCTTCACAGCCTGGGTGAGTGCACCACGAACTTCAAGGTTCTAATAGTGATCTCCAAGAAAATTCAAAAAGAAGTCTCTGTTATTGCGCTGGAGTGTGCGACAATCATCCAGCATCGGTCTGTTCGCTGCCGGTGTCGCGTAAGTTTGTCTTGTCGCAGCTTACCGAATGGGAAATATTTGGAAAAGCTTAGTGTCTTTCTTCCAGTCTTTTTGCCGGACTGCAGAACTTTCGTGCAAGAGCATCAATTATTCCAGAATCCCTTCTCCGGAGTCTCCGATTTGCAGGTCTCCAAGTCGGTGCCCCTGAATTTGACTAGTGACGGATAGAGAAACAGTCGGGCAGCATTGGAAATCCATCACTTTCTGATTGCTACTTAGAATGTTAGAAGGATCCAAGAATAGTAGAAGCGGTCTGTGGAAAAGAAGGGCTTCCAGTTGAAGGGCTGACTGACTATTTTATTTTCAACTGCTTTATAACATTATAAAATTATCAAGAATAAAGGTTGCTTTCGAGGCCTGCTATATTTGAAAAGAACTGAGCCTAGAAGTTGGTAACCAACTCCAAATGATCCCACTCATCACTGATTGGTAGTTTGATTGCCAGGTGAATGAAATTTGAGACTCGAAAACACTGCAAATTGTTCACTTCATGAAAATTATCGCACAGATTAATCACTGAACCATGTCTGACAGGACCAACTCCACTTGATGTTTTCCATGTCGCGAAAACTAAAAAAAGCCCCGGGATCCGCCACTGACCGACTTCCAACTTCCTCGATATTAGAGAACCGTAATCATTCACTAACAACGTATCACTTCGTCATCAACCCTGATTACCATGAAAAACGTAACATCTGCGTTGCCATCGAGGAAGCCCACTTTGCAATGAAAATAGTTCTAATACTCAGTAAAGCATTATTCGGTCGGTGAATTTTAAGCGTCCGTCTTGTACAAGGTCAGCGACACCCACTGGTGGAGTAGTTTCCAATGCAAACAAGCCCATCTCCATCCCTTTTTCCTTTGCACTTCCACGTCGGTTGACTCTTACAGGCGGCAGATAATGTCTTCACAGAATTCTCCTTTATATGATTCTCAGTGTCAGATGGTAGGAGCTCGTGAAGTTCGGATGGTGTCAGGTGTTTGGTGAATGATGAATGTTTGCAGTAGTTGAATGAGTCGTCGCTTGAATCGGGCAGCACAGTCTTGATCTCCTAGTTGGAGATGCCTGTCCAACTTATTATTACATACGAATATTTATTAAAAATGATTCCGCTCCACTCATCCACTTTGTCACTTTTGCAGCAAAGATTCTGAGAAACTCTAAACAAACTGTAAATACATCAAAACCAACTCAACCGCCTTGCTATTTGCCTGCAACTCACTTGTTACACTCCGAGAGATTTTCTTTCGCTTGCTCTCCTAGTATACACTTAATTGAGCTTCCGCAATCTCCCAACAGTTTTAGGCCGTTTCCAAAACTCAGAAAGGCCGATACTTTGCTCAGCTCGGTGAAAATTAGTCGGAAGTCCTGAAAGTAGTCGGAAGTCCGAATAAGAAGGGATGCATTATTCATGTGAGGGCAGAATACTAGAAACCTGGTGATATATATATATATATATATATATATTTATCTCCATCAGATTTCTAATGCAATTTCATAACATCGTACAACTGACAAGTACACTCCTAGTAGTAGAGACTAGCAATCAAACCACCAATTAGCTATAAAGTGTAGTAGAGACTACCAATCAGCTGTAAAGTGTAGAATGCTACTTAAAGTCTTTTTACTATTGAAAATGAGTGTGACATAAATGACAAAAGATGATACTTTTTTTGCATCATGCATGAAAGCTTTTGTATCTACTAATAAGAGTTTGGTTGTATTAGACTTATGACTTTCCTCTTAATAAGAAAAATTTGGATTCTGCTATTGGAAAAATTTGGATTATGCTATTGAAAAAATTAAGGTTATGTGAAATCTAATCTATTTGAGTATTATATTTCTTTAGCAATAATAAATCTAAAATAACTAGATTAATAAGAGATCTAATAATATTAAATATTACTAAGCTATTATAATCATTACTTGCTATATCTAAAAAAATAATTTTATAGATAACATTTTTAGAAGACAACAAATAAACATCTATGATTTCTACATGCACATGCTTGATTTTCTTAAATAAGGATATTTTATATTTCTTTTAATGAAATTTGTATCTATAAAAGATATTGAGACTCTTAAATCTAATAAGACAAAGACTTTGTAATTCTTTAATCTCAAATAAACATCTTTTGTAAAGCAAAATGAAAGATTTGAGGAAAAGATAAGACCTTTATTAGGTATTGTACAAGATTTTGCTTGCATAGTATCATAGACATATATATTTACTGTGATATTTATCTATGTGATTAAGTAAAAGTAGATTTATTTCATAATATTTTTTAGAAAAGCTTCCTAAAAGCTTCATAAACATTGTTTTGATTTTATATGTATTTGTAGTTGATTGATAGGATAGAAACTTGGTCAATAAGTTAACCATGTGTTAGTAGCTTACAGAATAAGTTAACTATGTGGCATACATATAGAAAACTTACTTTGTAAGTTAAAATACGTGTCTCTAAGTCAACACATTTTGGAGGTTCTATAAGATATCGCCATGTAGCTCCTAGTTAAGAGTATACATGGAAACAAGAGTGAAGCCTTCTTCACTCTTATCAAAGCCTTTCTAATCATTAGTCTTGTTTTAAGACTTTTTAGTTTTCTTATCTTTGGCAATAGTCATTTTAATTTAATACTATACCATCTTTGAGTTTTATAGGAGTGTATTGATATTTTAGTTCTTTGAGGTTCATGTCCTTAACACAAAATTACTATTGTAATTGGACAAACTTTTTTTTCAATACATTGTTCTCTTTGGCAACCATGTTCTTTATTTTGTGATTGCAATGATATTTTGGATAATATTGAGTAGTATGTTTATATTCTCTGCAAGATAAGCGTAATCTTTTTTTAATAATATCAATTTTTTTTTGCTAAATAAGAAGTTTAAAATATACTATATCAATTTGTATAGATTCTAGCCTTAATGAATAAGATAATGAAAATTTAAAAATTATTGCCATAACTTTATTTGTACCTCTCTAACCAAATTTTTGTTCTTTGTGTCTTTTAAAAAGTTGATTGTTGCATGCCATAGTTTGATTAATAAATTATTCAAATGAATCTACTTTTAACATTGTCAACAATATATCTTTAATATTATCTTTTAATCTATATGAAATTTGATTAATAAGAGCTTTGTTATTCAAAGCCATATTACAAGCAATTTTTTAGAATTCAATAGCATATATAGTGGCTAAATATAATCATTTATGTAAAGATAGGAGTTTAATTTCTATTATCCTCTCTTGATCATTTTCTTCAAAAGAGGTTGTAAACACTTCTATAAATGAATTTAAATCATAAAAGAAGTATGATTTTTTTTTAATCAAAGGTATAAATTAAGAAAGAATACTTCTAGATAGAAGTGCTCTTATGAATCCAACTTGAATAAATCCATCAAAATATTAAGAAAGATGCAATCTTAGATAGAGCTTCACTTGTTGTAGAAATCCTTAAAATTATGATTTTGCTCCATCAAACTTTTCTAATATACTTATCTTTATTTTTCTTGTAGTAATAAGACTTTTTGGATTCAATTGTAAATTTAATCTACTTACTTCTCTTAATTGTATAACTTTTTGGAGTAGAATTTAAACTTTATTGATAATTTCTTTCATATATGTAGAAATAATTCCTTCACTATTGATATTGATAATACATGAGATTTCCACCTTAAAAATGTTAAGAAGTTCATGAAGATTTATAATAGTTGCACATCTATTCTCACTTCCGCCAAGTATAGCATTG